CATAATTCGGGGGCATTTCAAAAAAAAAAGATCTGTACTGATTGTTCAGGGCAGTGTCTTATGTTTAAATATCTTAAAATATTGTGTGGTTCAAGGCATCAGAATTGAGGAATACATTTACATATTGCATTTTGGTTACTTTGATTAATTTTCATTTGGCCCAATAATTCCGAATTGAGTATGTGAAGGCTCATATCTTCTACTAACCATGTGTGACATTCCTTGCAGGTTAGATATTATTCTTATCAAGCCCTACTGTGAAATCACAACATGTGTATTTTTTTCTCTGTAAGATCTTTCAAAGAACACTGAAACAGAACAACTAGAACAAACTTCTCTTTGACATACTGATATTCTTAATTTGTTCAAGATTAAGAGTATTAAAGTCAAATATATCACAAGTTAGTACTGATTGAATACTTAAAGGTGTATTCACTTAAAGCTTAAGATTAACTTCCATCTCAAATATTGTTCTTTTTTAACTTTAGAAAATATTCATGAAGTCATCTGTAGTGGGCTTTCTGGCAGCAGCATCAGATGTATGTCTTTTTGCCTGCATGCTAAAACAAAATAGGCCAATGGACATCTAAGGCTAACGACAAAAACTGACCTATATCATTAAGAAATGCTCAGTGTGGTTCTTTGTACAACCACAGCATTGCATACCACATAATTATATCCTACAATTAGTTTTAGTTTTTATTATATATATATATATATATATACACACACACACACATATATATATATATATATAGAGAGAGAGAGAGAGAGTATTGTAATGTAAAAAAACAACTTAAAAAACTATTACACAAATCGTATTGAATATATTTTGACTTAAGGAAAATTTAGTACATTCTTGCAATGTTTCTCATTTCCCTGGATAAGAGTCTTGCCATGAAACTGAAACTCCTATTATAGACTGCTAACTTACTCAAAGATAAGCAAGGATAAGGCAGGTTTTTCAATCCTGAGGCATTCTGTATGCTCTAGACTGACCATTCTACATTATGGTGTTATTAACCATAAGGAAGAAACTGTAGCTCAGTAGAGACTTCCATAATCCCCACACCTTCTTTCTTTACTTCAGGCTGCTTCAGCAAGTCTCATAATTAGTTTCCTAATCTTGATATGTAAATGGAAACTTTGAATAGCACCTGACACTAAAGAGTTGCTGAAAGCCACTGACAAAGAAAATCAAAGCCTGGTTTAATTCTTATTGAGAAATATGTGGAAAGGGGGAAAGACAATGTTAACAAAATAACTTGAACTGCTCAATTGGCAGACAAAGATCTCTTTTGAAAAGAATTCTCTGAAGAAGTGTGAAAAAATACTGTAAGACAGGCCTGGTCAACTTTTAACTATCTTTAAGATTCAAAATACATACTTTTTATAAACCAAGAACTTAAATGGAGATGGGGAGAAAAGTAGAAATTGTGCTTCATGACTATTTAGAAGAACATTCAAATACCAAGCAAGATATGATCGTTTTCATTGTGAAAACAATTGTGTTTAAGGCAAATTGTGTGTCCCTAGTTCCAAGAACTTAAATGGAGATGGGGAGAAAAGTAGAAATTGTGCTTCATGACTATTTAGAAGAACATTCAAATACCAAGCAAGATATGATTGTTTTCATTGTGAAAACAATTGTGTTTAAGGCAAATTGTGTAGTCCCTAGTTCCCAGTCACCAAATACCAGTAGGCCTCACTTATAATTAAGATATGCAAAATTCATCTTCAAGGTTAGTGTTACCATATTGTCTTCATGAATTATTTTTTATAGCAATTTGAGGCACAGTTCAGGCAAATTAAAATTTTTTGTTTATTCTGTAAATATTTATGTTATGGAATAGTGAATTTCTTTATCTTGGATAGTACTTATATAGGTCCTTTATTGCAGACCCTTTATTATAATATGCAGTAACATAAAGAAAAGCATAATTATATTCTTCACCTATCTAAAATATAGAAGAACATACTACAATGTATAGACTTATAGATATTATGATAAAAAAGACAAAGAGAAGAAGATAAGTTTACTCTTGGTGTTTATCTGAAGGATAACTAGCTAAAAAAAATGGATATTACAGCATTGTTATAATAGTCAACACAGAAACAACATAAATATCTAGATGATGAATGGACAAATATATATATATATGTGTGTGTGTGTTCATATAATGCTATACACTGATGTATACATCCATATGTGTATGTAGGTGTGTGTACTATTCACCCATTAAAAAGATGGAAATCTTACCATTTGTGAAGTTATGAATGGATTTTGAGGGTACTATATGAGGGAAATAAGTCAGACAGTAAAAGAAAAATACAATTTGGTATCATTTATATGTGCAATCTAAAAAGAAGACCAAATAAATAACAACAAAATGCCAGAACTCTTAGATACAGAGAACAGATCGGTAGTTGCTACAGACAGGATGTAGGATGTGGACAAAATGGATAAAAGTGGTGAAAAGTTACAAACTTCCAGTTATAATGTTCCATGTCCCAATGTTTAGGGATGCACCATATAGAATGTTAGTTATAATTGATTGCTGCATATTGAAAATACACAAGAGAGTAGACCCTAAAAGTTTTCATCACAAGAAAAGGAGCTGTAGCTATGTGTGATGATGCCTGCTAACCAGAGTTACTGTGTTGATCATTTAGCAATATAAAACACAATATACAAATATCAGATCATTATGTTGTACACTGAAACTAATACAATGATAAATGTCAATTATATATTAATAAAACAGAAGATAAATTTGATTTTCTGTCTAAAAAATCATTTAAAAATTTCAATAATTTATAATATATTTCCTTAACTCCCTATAAATTTTATGGGTGTCACAAATTTTCTTAAAATTTTTTTTATGTCTTAGAAGTGTTTATAAAATATGATTCAAAACAAAAAAGAAAATATGAAGGGAAGCAAATAATAAATGAAAGAAATATACCTAAAAAATATGTGCAGATAAAAAAAAATTTAAACAGGAAAACATTTGGAAATTAGTCATGTCTGTAATAAAGTGCTCTTTTTTCTTCCTCAAAACTAATAACTATGATTTAGTAATTTTAGTGGTTATAGAAAATCATAGAGTACTCTTACTCATTGGATAAATGTGTGGATCCATAGTATATAAAAAATTCAGACAAAAAATAAAATTCTAGGATGTTTACCTTGTTGAAAAAAATTACCTTATTACATGTAGTTCTTTACCACCCCTCTTCTACTCTCAACAAACCCGCATCAATTGCTTCAGATTTTCTGAGACATTAACTATGAGGATGTGTCAGTTCTTTATAAAAAATGATAATGCTATGAACCTTTGAGGGAAACTGAAATACGGATGGATATGTGTGGAGGATTCCAGCCCATATATCAGTGTCAGGGGAGGTACCATGTTTCACACCCCTACTTACATGAGGTGTTTGGACTTGGCAACTAGGGCCAGAGCTCAGAGACCAGATGAAACCATCTAACATGGAACATAAGAGGACTCAAAAGATTCTTGCTTCTTCACTTTTCATCTGCAACCTGGACTTGGAAGGAAGCGTGTGGAGGAGAGACATGCAGAGAGAGTTGAAAGAGACACATGGCTAAGAGACACGTGGGGAAGCTGACAAGGGCGGCCTTCATTTTGATGTGGTATCATTTTTTGGTCCCCAGCTCTTCAAGTCCTACCTTATCCCTTTCCTGCTATTCCCTGCTAGAAGGTACCTTCAACTTGTCATAAGCTTTTGGGCTCTTTTGGGCTGATCTTACTTAGCTAGGCATTTACTCACAAGATGGTGGATTTTGGAAGTTTTATTAGGAAACTACTATTAGGAATATCCTTTCTTCTCTCTGTGCACAATAACCTATTAAAGATCATTTTGTAGCAGGAAGACTGAGGGGCACACCAAGTCCTCCAAATTACATACTCTAAATGGGTTCTGCTATTTAAAGATAAACATACTCTTAGTGTGCAAGACCTTCAGTAGAAAAGAATCATAAGAAAGGGGCCAAAGGGGCCAGGCAAGTCTGGAAGGAAAGGAACAAAATAAATGTACAAGTCAAAACAGAGCCTGGTATTGTCAGCCTCCCCTCAGGTCTCTCACATAAGTTTTCTTCCAAGTCCTTGGTACAAGTGCAAGGTTGAGATGTTTACCTTGTTTCTTCTTCATATGTCCTTCTGCTCCACATGCCTCCTCCAAGTCTTCTCTGTTCAAGTCCTCCCAATTCCTCTCACTAGTCATTTCATCTTTCCCTCACTGTTTAGCTTCACTCTTCCTAGGATGGGAGAATCTGGAACCTCCCCTTTTGTGTAAATAATACTATTACACTTTCTCAGAGTCATTTTGCTTATTTTCTCTTTATGCAGCTGATGGCAGGATCCCATTTAGAACATGCACTTCTTAAGTTTGGGGACACTGAGTGTCCCTTGGTTATGCACTAATATCAATTTAACCATTAATATATTTTTTAAATAAAAATATCGCAGAAAGATACCCCAATTTTAGGAAGAAAACTCAAATTGTTTAGAATTTTAAGAACAAACTTTTATTACTGTCAAATACATTTACTCATCATTTCCTCAAATATTCAAAGGATATTCTTCATGCAACCTTAACCCCTGGGGTCTAAGTTAACTTATTTTTCCATATATTTCTTTAAAATTCTTTTTTAAAAGAATATTATTTATGGGTAGAAGGGAACTTTAAATATTTCAGTATAACTTTCTGTCTCAAAAAAAAATTAAGTTAACTGTGACCCAAGACATCTAAAAACTTTAAAAATAGAAAAGGAAAAAATTGCTATTACTTCTCTAGGGAACACATTTTAATGCTTAGCAGCATATTGGTCAGGAATATTCTCTAAAGTACAGTTCATCATTATTTAGTTACATTCAATAAGATAAAAAATTTTATGGGTTATTGAGTGAACTGATCTCCATATCTTTAAACTTGACTTTCTCAAGGACAAGTCTAGATAAATAACAGTCAGGAATTTTTATTTCTCTTGATTTCAAGATAATTTCCTAACAAATTTACTGCAGTCTAGATAATTATTACTATTCTTTCCTCTTATTATTATTATTCTTCTTTGGTTAAGGTATGAGTTGAATGGGCCATCTTAACTGATGAACCAAGTAGCTTGTGTCTATGGAGCTGGAAGATAGCCAAGACAAGCTCAACATGTAGTGAGGTAGAAAGAGCTAGCAATCTGAGCATAATCTAAAAACTAAGAAAAGACTGCTTCAAATTGAGAAAACTATAGTAAGTTAGTAAAACTCAGAAATCATTAGACCCATGGGGTCTGGATGGCCAGTAGACATTCTGTGTTGGAATAATGCAGTGTTGCAACTCCACATGGATAGGCCATCATTCGTCTCTGTAAGGGCATCAATCATTGATAGTGGGGATTAAATAAGGACTAGAGTGAATTCTCTAACATTTGATGGTCTTTTTATTTGGCTGACTAGCCAACGTTTTAATTGAGAGGTGAAATAATCATTTCTACTTTCCCTGTACCCACTTTACTCCCAATGTAAAGGAAATAATTTTGAAAACTATATTTTGTTACTAACGGCACAAAAGGCAGTTCCATAGGCCTATGGTTTTTTGCTTAAACCAATGACTTCCTCCAAGAACAAAGAGCAACAAATCAAAGCAACTAGTAGCAGTTACACTCAAGAAGATTTCATTATAAAATGAGATGTCAACATCACAGGTTTTTGAGTATGTCAGAGCATGCAGGTAGTAGATCCTAAAGAACTGGTAGGGAAGAAAGCAGACAAGGATGATCCCTATAAAAACTAGGTTCTTCAACTGGGCCCAGAACTCCTGGTGGGATAGGAATGAGTGGCGCAGCTTCCGTACCATTGAGATAATGATGAAGATCTGGAAGACCAAAAGGATTACAGCAGTGGTGATGACAAGAATGACTAGGATATAGTTGATGATTCTCACGGATTCATGAGTAAGTTCTTTGTGGAACTTAAAACAGTCTTGATCATTGTATTTCTCCTGATTTCCATACTGAGAAAAAATTAGTGGCACCACAATGACAATCACCAGCAGCCACATGCCAGCACTGGCAGCCACAGCATGCAGTTTTCTGTAGAATTCCACTTTGTCCTTGTGCTTGAAAAAGGTGAGGTATCTGATGACCAAGATCACCACGTAGAACAGGAATGTGAGGTACATATGGATGTGCAGCATGGAGCTCACAAATTTGCAAAAGGGCAACCCAAACATCCAAGTGTGCTTGATGAGGTAGGTCAAGCGAAAAGGCACTGTCAGCAGAAATACACTGTGGACCACTACCAGGTTGATGACAGCAGTGGTGGTTACAGACCTTGTGTTCATTTTCACCAGCAGGAAAGAAATAGATATGATACCCACCAGCCCTCCGATGAGCACTGTACAGTAGAGTCTGGTTAAATGGGGTGTCAGAATAGGACTACAGGAGAAATTACCATGTTCAGCCATATTTCAGAAGTTACCTGGAAGACACACAACTTCAGTTCAACCAATAAACTTCATGAAATTTGTTCATATCGCCTTCCTAGCACTGATCATGTGACTTTGTCATTTATTTGTTTATATGACAAAAATATTACCTGTCTGTAGAAGGAAGACTATGACATATGCATATTTGTACCCTCTAGAATGAAAATACTAAGTCGTTGACTCTTAATCTTCATTAGGTTAAACATCTCAGTCACAGACCTCCAAAAACAAGTATATATGTAAATAGTCAAAACAGATTGCCACAAAGTAAATTCAGACCATGTGAAGTGATTCAAGGATACTTATTGTAGCAAACACTAGGAAATGAATCCTTAAGATGGATATACAGTTGGGCATATGCTTTACACACACAAAATGTTTTGTTCTCTTAAGTTTAAGTTTATTTCTCTAATACCTTTCAATCCACCAAACAAATTGTCTAAGAACTTTATTCTTTTTAAAAAGATTTATTTATTTATGCATACAGAATTGGAGTACAGGACAGGGGTGTTGGGGTGAGAGGATTCACCAGAGACAGAGTGGGGAGCAGAACAGGCAGACTGATGCAGTGCACTGCTGAGGGAAGCAGTAGGCAAGTCAGGAGAGATCTGTTCACCATGTGTCTAACCTCCCTGGCTGGGGATCAAACTGCTGCTGCAGTGGCTGTGATAGCTTCGTAATTCTGTGCTTTAACCTGTCGAGCAACCAGGGAAGGCCCAAACTTTTTATTCTTAACTCATATCAAATGTTGATTAGTTTAGTTAAAAAAAAAAGATTATGTCAACACAGCAGCAGGTGATAGGAGGGCATACCTTAATTACTTATTGTAGTTTTATTATCATCTAGCAGTGAGGCCTTGGCTATCTTCTTTTCACTGGCCCCACTGAAAATGTAGCATGTCTCCCAATTCTCCCCTTCTCTATCCTCAGTTACTCTGTAAATTCATAGTAGTCACTATCACTTTTGCTCTGGACTCCAATAAGATTATTTTCCTAAATAAGCTTGGTCCCTTCTAATTCATTATCTACATTCTATGTTGTTATTTACTAAATTAAAGATTCAGTAATCTTTTAATTATCCTGATCAAGTCACATTAATTTTCTATATGAATTACTTTTCTTTCAGTGGCTTCCCATTTAAAAGTCCTAACGTGTTTAGGATTTTCTGGGTTACTGTAAAACCAGATCTCTAGAAACCAGATTACAGAAATAATCTAAAGGTGAAATTTACAGGATTAAATGGGTTGTATATGGGGAAACGAGAAGCAAGGAAATATCTCAATCATGCCCAAAGTTCTGAGTAGAACAACTGAGTTTAGAGGTCTTTTTCCTAATATCTAGAAGATGAAAGGATCAAATTTGGGGGACATTGTTTCTTGATAAAATTGAAATTACACAGCAATAAAGATGAACCAACTACTGATCAGTACTGATAACCTCAAAAATATACTAAATCATTCATTCTCCGTAGGGCAATTATGTACCTGAGAGGACAAAAGTTTGCCCTTAATGTAAAACAGGGGTCTCCTTGGTGGTACATGGGTTAAAGTCTCAGAGCTATCCAGCCATAGCTGGCCAGGGAGCTAACTCACCTTGTGCAGCAGACCTCTCCTGTCTCACTTGCTGTTCCCTTCAGCAGTATAATTCAGTAAATCTGCCTGTTCTGCTCCTCACTCTGTCTCTGGTGAATCCTCTCACCCCGTGCACCTCTGGCTTCGAGTTTCTGCATGCATAAATAAAATAAACACACACATATACATATACCCTTATTGTAAATCATAAAGAAATATCTAGTGAGTGTCCTAAGTCCAAGTTGTTAAGTCTTAACATTAGAAGGAGGAAAGGCTACGGAGAAAGTGAGTCCATTCACATAAATATATGAATTAAAATATGTTTTTCTGTCTTTTGGAATTCCTCAATTTCCTACTGCAACACAGTACCATTAGCTAGAGCAATAATACTGTACATTACATCCCATGACTTGTTTGTTTAATGACTGAAGTTTGTAGCTGCTTAGCTCCCTAACACATTTTGTCCACTGCCCTTCCCCACCAGCATGCTTATAAGTGAAATAAGTCAGAGAATGATAAGTACCATATGATACCACTTAAATGTGCAAACAAATACACAAACATAAAAACCAACTGCATAGGCCCTCCCTGGTGTTGCAGCGGGTTAAAGCACAGCACTGAGAAGCTTAAGCCACTTCCGCATGAGTTCGATCCCCGCCTACCCCGGAGCTGATCCACATGGCGTGGCAGACCTCTCCTGACCCGCCCGCTGCTCCCCTCAGCAGTGTACTTCATAGATCTGCTTGTTCTGCTCCCCATTCTGTTTCTGGTGAATCCTCTCACCCTCCACATCTCTGGCCTATACCCCAGTTCTGTATGAATAAATAAATCTTTAAAAAAAATCAACTGCATAGATATAGAAGATAGATTGGTGGTTGTCAGAATTGGGAGGAACATCTGGCTTTGTTTTTCTGTCTAACCTGCCACACTTTGGCTCATTCTCCACCAATTCCTTGCTTCATTTATGCTCCTTTGGCCTCATGATAATGTGCTTACAATTTAACCCATCTGCTACTACTTTTCCTCAGCTTGACTTTGAAGTCTGATTTTCCTTGTAAATAATGTGTTATTAATTTTTTACTTCCTATTCCTTTTTGAGTATTTCCTGTGACTGAGGTTCCACCTCAGCATTTGAAACAATCTCCCTGTATAAGGAAGTACTTAGCCATGTCTCAGGAGGTTCTGCATATTCATTAATGCTTCTAACCTTGTCTTTATGCTCAACTTAACTCTCAGAATGAGTTTTGCTCTGCACCTTTGTGACGATTCTATTAGTGGGAACTTTTGGCTGTCTTTTCCACCAATATGGACTGTGGTTATCTTTATAACCCATCATTTGCTCCTGTGTTGTAGTCTTGAGGTTTAAGCTCCAGGTTAGGTTTCTATGAACCCCTGTGCTAAGACATGGTACTGAGACCTAACTCTGTTTTCCAGAACCTGTCTCAATGTCTGCACGAATCCAGCTTAAGCCAGCTTCTAGATTCCGTGTCACTATGCTCTAACCACACTTAATCAGGATGTTGTGAAAAACTCCCAGATGGTCAGCCTCAGGTTGCAACTTCTGCTTACTGTTCAGCTATGCTGGTACCATGCACTTTCTCAGTCTGCCTGCAGGGGGCACACTCCCACTGTCTCAAAGACCTGTATTCTCACTTTGATCTAGGTAGCACAATGAGAAAAAAGGAGATTTAAAAGTCCCCCCCCCCAGTGTATTCCTGTCTTCCTTTTTTTCAACTGCTGTACCTCTTTGCCTCTCTCAACATGGCATCTTCTTCATTTTGTTCTTGTGAAGACTGTTTTAGACCATGGGATGCATCACCATCCTCCAAGATGACTCACCAGTCTCTGAAAGTCAAACAGAACTAGAATGGGATAAAGAAGCAATAAAAGCTTTTAAGAATTATAGTAGTAAAGGGACACAGGTAGGGATTTGGGCTCAATTTCTTTCCAGTGGTAAAAATGAAAAGAAGGCATGTGTGCAAGAAGATTCCTTTACATATAGTCTATGACTCAAGGAATTTTAAGTTGGTTGGCATGGAATTGTTTGTTCTCCTACTTTGCATTCTTTCTCAGAGATATGAGTAATTTTCTCACTTGCATGACTTGCAGCCCTGGGTGGGCATCTGTCTGCATGTGTGATCAGTGCTCCATCTCATACATCCTATTCTCTGATACATGGAAAGAGATGGGCACTTGCAATGAATAGCATTATCTTATCAATATTCCATGAAAGAACTGCATTCCCCAAATCAAAATCGAGTCACTGAATCTTCAGACAGTTCTCATTTGAGTTAAAAGGAGTGTCATATTCTTTGTACTGGTCAAATTTCTTTGTACAGTGTTTTATTTCAATGACAACAAATAGCAGTATCAACTCAACCTAAATCAATAAATTTGACTCTTGACTGCTATATATTTTTAATCTATTATTTTGTATGTGTTAGAGTTGGGAATTCACAAAGAACGGAGGCTATCTTAATTCAAGCTTAAAATTCTTGGAAGGAAATGTCTTCATTACAAAATGATGAGCACACACAAAAATAATAAATGCTGTTCAGAAATTCCTCCAGTGCTTCACCGCAGAATAATAACTTGCTAATGAGAGTAGTCTCTGCACAGGGAAAGCCAAGAGGATGTCTGAATGAGTTGTTGAGTAATGAACTGTGTGACAGATAGGTTTCACAGTCAAAACCACAGGAAGGACCTGGGGACCAGAGACAACTCACTGAGCTGGCACCTAAGTCCCACTGCTTAAGGAAGAACAGAGCTGAGCATTTGAATTGGGTCGGGTGCAGAATTTGCCAAGTATGGTTAAATAAATTCTTGCAAGCATAACCTTTTATTAATGAGAAACTTTTCCTTTCCCAGTGTCAAATTTAGAAGATATTTATATGGATTTTTTTAATATTCAGGCTCAATTTTTTAGTGTTGCCCTGAGTTTTGGGACACAGTCATTTTGAAGAGGAAAATAGACTTAGAAGGTGCCCAGAATCAAGTGTTTGATAGCCATGAGTCAGTGTTATTTATAGATTTTATCTCTTCATTCTAATTATTTTATTTTAATTATGTTTTGATTATTGAGGTAACAGTATTTGCAAGACTGAATAGGAAAAATAAGATCCCACTTCACACTCAATTTTTGTAGGAAAAGTTATGTGTATACCAGCAAGATATTTGTTGCATATAGGTGACTAGTATGTTTTGCGTGATTGAATGAATTTATGAAAGAAAAAGAGAAATTGAAAACAATGAATGAAGAGAAGACAAAGGAGAAAGGAAAAAGAAAGGGTAAGGAAAGGAGAATGAAGCAGAGGAAGGCAAGCTCTCTGGTCTTAGTCAGTGATGCTTTCATCACCTGTGGGGAATATTTCCTTAACTGCAAGGTTTTTGTACCTGATGTGAACATATGTCTTAATTATTCTCAAATTGCCCATCTAATAAAATATGAACTGTTTGCTAGAAAGTGAAGCTGGTTCAGTAAGACCTGAAAGGTAAGGGATTCCATTTCTGTTGCCATGGAGATAGTCCATTCTAATGAGGAAGCAGGGAGCTTTTTCTCAAACATCTTTAACAACCATAGGCTGATATTATTTAGATAGCTCACCTAAACATCATTAATGTACTTTGTTTTCCCAAAATATTCCACTCTGATCAAATTATCTTGTACATCTTAAAAGTCAAAATTCAGGTTCCAGCTTCCATCTAGAGCCCTATTTCCCTTGGACTTTCTCAACCTCTTTCTCAAACTGTTACACTGAAGCATCTCATTTCCCCTTTCACTGATTAATTATTTATCCTATTTTAATTTTTCATTTTAGTCTTTTTTTGTATCTACTTTGGACATTGAATTTCTTGTAGCACTAACATGATTTTTATAACAGTTAACAGGAGTTGTTAACTGAACAGGTGAAGTAAAGTGAACAAACAACTGCTTGAACTTTATTAAGCAGTTCTTACAGAGAGCTTCATTTGGAGATAATCCAGAAACTGATGTCAGAATACCAGAAGTGAACTATAGGTACAGACCACAATCTCTGTAGGAAGAAATGCTGCCTCCATGCTACGTCATGGCCCACCCTGCCTTGGCCGGTGATCATTTCTTTATCTTGAGATTGACCCCTGAAGACCAACAAGAAATCTGTCCTGAAACTACAATTTCACCTTGTCTCTCATTGTCTATATAAAATCCTTCTTTGGTTCCTTTTAGTGAATACAATGAAGTCTGACACCTACCATGTCATATAAACCCCTGTGATCCAATACCAACTAATATTTCAAAATCTATTTTCTGTCATGACTCTCTTTGTTCAAAATCATCAGACTTACAGATCTTCTTTCCATTACCAGAATATTTTCTTTCATACCTCCAGGTCATTTCTTTTCTCTGGAGAGCCCAAATGTACATTTAGACACAGACTTACCCAAATTATATCATAAAATAAGTGTACCTCTCTTCCTTAAAGGTTTCCCCTGGACGCCTATTGACTCTAGGAGATGTACAAACTTCCTAGTAAGTGACAGGAGTCTTTGGCCTTTATAATTCTATATCTGACCTTTGCCCATTACAGTACCAGGATTCTCCCATCCTGTCTGCACAATCACAATTTCTTCCTTGTTCTGCTCTGACAACAACCCTCCCACAGCAGCTCTCCCTAGCTTTGTCTGAGGCGTGGCTTGTGACTTATCTGTTCTTTTCCTAAAACTTTGCCAACAGCCTTGCTTGGGCCTCAGTGGTCATTGTCCCTGACCTGAGAGCCACCTCATTTCAAAAGTGAAACACAGAAACACTGCAGCTCTTTTATAAGGAGTCTGTTATAGAACCAACACTGGAGACCAGTCTACAAAGTGAGACTCCTAATTTATTTTTGTAGCATTCTACAAAATGGAATTATGCAACCCACATCTTCATAAGTATGTAGACCTTGCACCCCAAAACTCCCACTTTCAGAAGAAAATCTATTATCTACTTTGGGATTTATCACTTTGCTTACCAAATACATCTTACTATTTTAAGTTCCCCTGTAGAGTAAGTAATGAAGATTATGAGATGAATAAATTTGCATTTACATATTTTGTATGTTTGGAGAGAAGAGGTATGCAGATTATTTACAACAATACCTACAGGTACGTAAAAAAATGCCACAAGAATTGGGAAAGGGGAGTATTGAATTTAACACATAGTGGAAAATGAATCAAAACAGCAGTGAAGTAATGGTGGATCTTGACTTCTACAATTAAGTTCCAGATACAGAGAGGAAGAGATAGAGCCCTTTAGGTAAAGAGAAGAGTCTGAGAAAAGGCATACTCAGGCATTTACCAAAGTTGGAAATGCCAGGAACATTAGGTCAATCAATAGAACACAGGAAAATGTCTCTAAAAGCGATTTGACAAACATACACAGGAAACAGGATATCCCACTTTCCCTAAAAATTATTTAAGATATAATTTTTAAAATATCAAATAATATTCTAGTATTTCAATTTCAAAAGTTTATTTTTGGCAACAGATAGGAAAATGATTAGTGGTAAGTAAACAAAAAAAATACTATCAGTAGGCTGTTATGTCCATTGAATTTAAATATTATAAGGATCAATGAAAAATGGCACTACCAGGAGAAATCACCCCAAACTAAATAACATCAGTAATGTAACAATGTTATCCTCATAAAATGGGGGAAGTTCCAGATTTCCTTTCCAGGAGGATGGAGCTGAGCAGAGAGGAGAAACTCAAAAGGACTTGGAAGGGGAACCTGAGGAGAGAAGATTTGGAGGAGTCAACAGAAGAGAGATACATGTGAAGTAGAAGCCATGATTCCTTCTCAGCCTTGGACTTGGGGGAAATGGAAGGAGACACTTGAAAGAGATGTGGATGAGAGGTCCATGGGGTGGCTGAAAATTACAGCCTTAACCTTGAATTCTATTATAATTTTGCTCTTTTCTTTCCAGACATGTCTGACCTCTTCTGCCCCTTTCCTGTGTTTCCACTTGTGACAAGTTTTTGGGCCTCAGTGACCTGGCTTGGGACAATCCTGTTTGACTGGGTATACACTTGGGTGTTTCACTTGGAAACTATTTTCTTCCTCTATTGCACACTACTTCTATTAAAGTCCTTTTCTACTGAAGTTCTTATGCATTAATAGCATGTTTTGCTGTTATGCATTGAATGGCAGAGCCCATTTATAGTGTGTAAGTTTTGTGAGTCCCAGTCCTAAGGCACCACTCACTCTGCCCACTAACTAAAATCTGGGTTGGAGATGATCTTGTGTGCTTCAAGTATCTCTGTTAGCAAGTGGTGACCTCTTCATGTCAAACCAATGATAAAAAGCCAATAAAAATCAATAAATATCTTATGAAAATAATTGTCATATTAAAAAATATGTCAAACTCCTGAGGCAAAAGAACTAGCAGTTAGTTTGCTAAAAGGAAAAAGGGGACAAAAGTAATTTTAAATGCAATTTTTACCTTCAGAGAAGAGAAAATGAGGTGAAATCCAATTATACTTGTTATTGAATAAAAGATGTACTGAATCAACACGATCAGCAAGCTTCTTAGATTGTTGAGAAAGTTCCAACAGAGGGAACAAATAGAAGCCAAGAGATAGAAAGTTTAAAAGAAATGATAAGTAATACCTAAGGCAAATCTAGAAAGTTCCATCATCATTTGCAGACAGCAGGTTGGAATGGGATACTCAGATAAATAATTGAATAGGCCCTCCCTGGTGGCACAGCGGGTTAAAACACAGCGCTAAAAAGCTAAAGCCACTTCCACATGAGTTCGATCCCCGCCTGCCCTGGAGGAGAACACATGGCGCGGCAGACCTCTCCTGACCCACCCGCTGCTCCCCTCAGCAGTGTACTTCGTCT